AGCATATATATATCATCATAATGGTTTTATTGATTTTATTAGTATTTCTTTGTATTTATCAACAATAACAAACGAACTAATTATATAATAATTTATTTGTTAATAATTTGGTTTAAGACTACTATAATTATTATATAATAATTATAATTTAGCTAAATAAATTTCTTAAATGAGATTGTGAATTTTCAATAATATCTTTGTTGAAACAAATATTATTATTCATAGAGCATTGATAATAAACAAACATTGTATTAGCTTTTATTTATTTATTTACAATTAAATATGACGTAAATAAGAAATATTAAAAATTGTATGTAGTGATTTCAAATACTTATAGATTAATAGAATTTATAAAGAAAATATTAATTTTTATGTTTAAAAATTATATTATTAATAGTAATAATTAATTAATGAGTAAAATTAATATTAATAATAATGATAGTAATAATAACATAAGAAGCTAAATAATTCTAATATCTATAGCACTAAGTTAATTGAAAATTTTATATTACAGATTGGTCAATCAATATCTGTGTACATAACCTAATTATTAAAAAGATTTTCATTATTAAAAAATATATATTGTTATTGTATAGATTATTTCATGATAATATATTCTTATATTTTCACACATAGTATAAGTTATTTTGTAGAACAATTTTAATAATCGAAAGATATTCATTATGATTAAAAATGTTATTTTATTTTATTATTTTTATTATTTATTTTACTTTATTATTTTTATGTTTATTCGAATAAATTATTTTAAGTCTTAATTACCAGGCAATTTTATAGACAATTAAATAGAAATTAATAGACGTATTTTGATACTATATAAAGAAATTTTACTATATAAAGAAATGTAATATTGATTTTAATAAAAAACAAAAACTACTCGTTCAATATAATTAAAAATAAATTCAATATGTAATAGTATATATTAAAATATTAACGAGTAGTTTTTGTTTTTTATTAAAATCAATATTACATTGGGATAAAGTTAAGTTTATTTTTCTTTATGATATTTGTAATAATACTATTAATGATTTTATAAAATTATTTTAAGCTCTTCATTAGTCATGTAAATAATTTATATGATATATTTTTAAGGCAATTTTTAATATTAAATAGTAATATTCATGTAACGAATATCGATTTTATCATATGATGTAAACTTCTAAAAAGTAATTTATAGATTTAGGATATAAATAGTGTATCAGTTAAAATAAAGTTGTATGAGCATAATTATAATAAACTTTTGAATTCGATAATGTATAGTATATAAGTAATGCGAAGTAAACTTATGTACACATATGTTAATATTTTAATTTTATTGTTTTTATTTATTACTTACGACATATATATATATATATACATACATGCATTCGTACATGCTCTCATACATACATAGATATGCTTATATGCATCTATACTTACATGCTTTCGTACATGAATGCATCCATGCATACAACACACATAAATACACATATGCATACATGCATGCATGTGTATATATACATATACTCGCGCATGCGCAAACATAGCACCCACACACACGCGCGCACGCACATATATATATTTTTGTTGTTGTTGCTCGACAAACAATTAAACAGACGTTAATACAATATTGTATTTTACATCAGAACGTCGATTTTAAATAAAGTATATTTACAATCTGTCAAGAAATTTTCTTTTCTTCTTTATTTTTCATTGCTAATGTAATACATTTGATGTTGAGGAATAAACGTCACATATAAATCCAGTCTAAGCTCGATTTTCTTCATCATGACGTTTCCGCGTAGAAATATTTTCCAAGTCACTCGTCATATATTTTAGCACGTACACACAAACGCAATGGAATGCGAAACGTGTATATAAAATATCGATTATTATTTCCGGGCACTCGGCCGAAGGCTTTTCGGCAACAAACACCACCGTGATCGCTTTCATTCGCTCATTTATTACACTTATTTTCTTTATGGATTCTTTTTAAATATTTAATCTAATTGATTCATCGGCTTTTTTAATTTAATAAAACGATGAAATTTGATTTTCTTTGCATTACAAGTGAAAAATTCACTTTAAAATTGGCGCAAACGCTCTGTTTATTATTAGCGTAAAACTCATTTTAACTGCACTTCTACAAAAATAATGTTAAATTTTAAAATCATTTTTTTCAATAATAATAACATTATCTTATTTATATTTTTGATATTTCTTCAGTACATCATTTGCAATATTAACACAAGTTTCTCCTTTTCGGAAAACGTTTAAATCTGTTACATAAATATAATGTATTATACAATCAGTATCAAAGTTTACAAAAAATCCAAACATGATATAACAAGAAGTTTTATAGATTTAAGTAAAATCTGCATTAGTTTTAACGTTTTATACAATACTTTTCATGGTAGCAGTTTAAAAGATTTTATATAACTAATTTCGAAATGCTTATTGAGAAAAGAGCAGCAATGTATTATTAGAAAATGTTCAGCTTTTTACAGTAGCGGATTATGAATAATTTTAAATAGTTATTAAATCGATAGAAAATAATATTTTTATTTTATTACTAATGGAATCATCATATTCTGTGAATTTTGTTTTTATAATTTTAAGTTATGATTTCTTCTTTATTGTAACATCTACAATAAATTTTACTTCTTGAAATTCGACATTGATCATTTGAGCCATGAGTATTGATTAAGCGCGACCGATTTAATGATAAAAGTAAGACAGTATTTTATTTACAGCTTATTTTTATTAAAAATATAAATCATCAAGTATTTATTATTTTCGGATATCGATGAAAACTATTTTGTCATAACGAAGAATTATTAATTTAAAAATAGAATTTACACGGTTAAGCATTAATTTATAAATATTTAAAGTTTGATTTTATATTTGATTTTATATTTTTAATTCTATACTCCGTATATATTCAATAAATTGAATAAAAGCAATTAAACAAAATTAAATTTCAACATATTTTCTTAAGAATTTCCAAAATAGTTGTAAAATAATTATTCCATTATATGAAATTTTCATAATAAAATTAAGTAAACATAAACACAACCACAAACATAAACAAAATAAAATAATATATAATAAGCTCGAATAAGTTAATTCAACGAATTTATTAATTTTAATCAATACAATAAATTACAGTATTCTTACCAATATAAGAGTGTAATTGAAAAGCTTTTAGATTTTGTTATTTTCAGCTCTTTGATTGGTGTATGCTCACTCTAATTAGTGGAAATAAAAAAAGGTTAATTGTTTATGAATTATGCAATAGATTGTATTGTAATGAAAATTTATGATTCATCAAAGATAAATATGTTGCAATATAAAAGAGAAATCAAATGGAAGTGTATTTAAGAAGGAGATATATAAATGGATAGATAGATGGGGGAGGGGGGGGGGGAAGAAACCGTGGGAGAGCAAATGAGTTAGAGTGGTGGACATACTCAGAGGTTTATGAAGAAAAACAATTCCCATGGCATGTTCTTTCATTGGAATTTTCTAAATAAAATTGGCAGATAAAATTTTTGAAGTGCGTCGGAATTGAGATAGTGACTATGAGTTTGGTCCGAAATCTTCGTCCCTTAGAGGCGCGTGGGATCCCTTCATATTTCCCGAGAGAGGGCAATAGAAAATGAGAGCAAAGACACGTAGAGGTCAAAACAAATAGATCAGTAGATGGAGTTTTTCATTTTTTTCATTTTCTTTACCTTCGTGAACCGAGTCAATGAAAATTTCTCATAATCTCAAATTCTTATAAAAGTTTAATGACCAGCAATTTCAATTATTTCTTTTATCTTTATATTAGAGTGAGTATACTTCATTGAACATTGTTTTTATTTCGTTTTTAACGAAGAGTATAGAGTAAATAAAATTTGACACACTACTTTCATTATATTTCAAGAATTTTTAATATAATAATATTCACATTTCTTCATTGGAATTCATTTCATCTTATTCTTAGAGATAGTGTGAAATTTCGACGAAATAAGGAAAAAGATTATGAAATGATCGTGATGCACTCCTGATATCACATACAATTATTTTATTTAAAAAAAATAGAAAAAGAAAATCAAGAATCCCTCGACTATTATTAATCTAGAGTCAATATTATATTTCCAGTTATTGAAAGTACGCATTGCCGGGTATAGGATTAATGTGCGCTACGTTTGTTTAAAACGTAAATTAATATTATCACTTAAATAGTTCATTATATAAAATATAAGATGTTACGTGAGTAAAACTTAGAAACTTTACGTACACAAAAATATTATTACCTATGCGTTTGTTTGTACAGAACAATCGAGTATTATTTTAACAGAGTGAAAATTTTATCGTTAAAAATGCTATTAGTCTTATATTTTGAAGAAATTGAACAGGTGCGCAATCATTGAAATCGTAATAACGAATATCGTCTATTCTCGCAGATTACAAAAGTCTTTCGCAATACTAGACGCGAGAATGCGAATACAATAATAAATCAAGTATTGCCATTAAGTGCCAAAGAACTAACAAAGTCTTGACTGTCTTACAATGTTTAGAAACAAGCGTTAGACTTTAATTATTGTTCATTATAATTCATTATCGACAATACATAACCCTAATCTATCTCATAAACGCGTAATTCTAGATGGAGAAAAAAATATATATGTAAAAAAAGAAAAAAAAAGAAAAAGGGCTAATGAATGCGGGATGATTTCCATCGAAGATTAAATTCGCAGTTAATTCACATTTCCGTGTTCTCCTCGTCGATGTCCTCGTCGAGTTCCGGAAGCGTATAGACAGCCGGCGGCGGCACCGGCCTCAAGTGATCCTCGAGCTTAAGGATGGGCTTACAGTCGCGTGTCACGTCCACCTGATTGTAGGAATCCTTGAGTATGTTAATCTCGTTCTCGTGTGTGAAAATGCTCGCGGGTGGCTCGCCCATGCAGAGGCTCTCCTCGGCGATGTTGCGCTGGCAGAGGTTGCTGCTCGGAAATTGTCACGAGGTCATAGCGAAGGGCTCGCCGGACAGCTCGTCGACGTTCGAGCTCGTCTTCGCCGGCTCCTGCTTCTCCGACTGATGCGACAGCCTGTGCACGATCTCGTCGTGCAGGATATTGAAGCACATGGCCGTTAGAGCCATGCCCGACATTATGTAGCACGAGCAGAACCAAACCGTGACGTTGCGCGCCTCGAGGGTGTTGTAGCTCGGATACGAGCCCGGCACCATATTACCAAAGCCGATCGTACTGAGGCTCATGAAGCAAAAGTAGCTGGCATCTGAAAAGCGGGTAATGTCATTAATTTAGCTTTCGGTACTTTGCCTACTCCGTGACGTGAAGTATTAGCTATTGGACTCGTTGCTTTATGCTTTAATTACGAATGAATAATTACGATTGCCTTTGGGATCGGTGTTTTTTTTTCTTTCTTTTTTTTCCCTTTCTTTTTTCTTTTTTTTTTTTTTTTTTTTTTTTTTTTTTTTGTTCATTCTATATGTATTGAAGACAATTGTTTTGGAATTGCTTTATTGTCTTAGACTGATGGTGGCAAACTCTTTTTGAGGGTTATTTCGGGCGAAATACTTATTGTAAATGCACCTCTTGCCGATTGTGATGGTAAAGAAAAATTTGGTTTTACCATATAGAACGTCTGTGCAATGATGATATATTGTTTTAAGCTTCGAATTAATCAGGCATAACCCTGAAGAAGGGTTAATTTCTATAAATTATCTATAAATTAGCGAAATTATCTATAAATGGTTATGGTTAATTAGTGATAGAATACAATTGTCTAAAAGAAATAGATTTCACGATTTTATATCACATCGTCTATATCTTATATACAATGTTTAACGATATTGTTGACTAGTGAAATTTTCATTATATTAAGCTGAATATTAATTAATGCGTAAGAATACAAATATTAGACATTATTAAAGACAAATAACAATATTCTCGTTGGCCATGTCTCGCCAATATTTATTATTTAATGATCGAGTATACAAAGGATATCGATACGTGAATATTTATAGTGGCGTATTTATAGTACGTCAAAATTTTTATGACGTTGATAAAAGAAATTCATTACCGAGATAAAGTTTTTAATATCATTAAAAAAGAGAGAAAAATAAAGCAGAAAAGTTTCGCCAAAAGCTATTGCTCTATAATATAGAATTATATTTAAGACAGGTAAGTTTTTTTTAATTAGTCTAATCTGGCGAAAGACAACAAGCAGTGTAAATTTCATTCATTTCACTATACCTATTTATAGGACACAGAAGTTATTATCACTACGCGATGAATCATACCATTAATACTCTAATGCATGTTCTACACATCGTTTGCCATATATTGTTTATGCCGCTCGGAAATAATCAATGAGTTCCAGAGTACTAATCAGCTTTTTCGCACCGCATATTTATAAAGTATAATCGCCTTACTTTACTGTTTTAAAATGAGACGTTTAATACGCGTGACTTAACATTAGCTTTAATTCGCTCGCTTTAGTCTAGTGAGCGAGCAGGCAATCGTAAGGCCAATTTAAGTTTCGCTTCAACGACCATTTAAATAAACACCGACAATTGATAAATAGTGTCTTTAAAAGCTTTAACAAAGAACCTGTAAAAGTCCAGTCTTCGAGTTTGTGAAGGGTGAACGCCCCGGCAATAATATAGCAGAACATGGCACCGAGACAGATGCTAATCGGTGCGAGTATCGTGACGTTCGGTCGATCGCCGGAGCTGAGGCTTGACACTTCGTCCTTAGGACTAGCCTTGATCTCGATCGAATTCGAATACGCCGAGGCGTTCGCCCTCACATAGAATGGCTCCTGCAATTGCAGCTGCTGCTGTTGCTGGGCAAGCTCCTCCTGTTGCCGCCTCTTCTTCATGCGCCTTTCCTTTTCCTAAAATTATTTCGGGCGGACAGCTCGTGAGCATTAATTGTCCAAGCATTATCAGTAGAAGTAAGTGTAATCCACCTGTATAATTTTCACGCGTAAGTTAATCTACCTTGAAATCATATTAACACATACGGCTTCATTGCGCCATGAATATTGCGCGCGTGAAATTTCACGGATATTTATGAACACGATATGGAAGTACCAAGTCGTTAACGCCTTTCGCCACGCTCGAACATGACCGAATAAGATGAATTAATTCGCCTCTCGGATATCGCCGAGGCTTTTACAATGATTTCAAGCCATCGCGTTAAAGGTAATGAAGATGAGCTTCTTACGGCTGATCGCCGAGGCCAATGAGTCATGCGAATTTAATGTATGCCGCTTAAACTTAAGCTACGAGGATAATCGTTAGCTCATCAGGTGGAGTATTAAGTCAAAGGAAAATGCAACACATACGCTCACCTGCATCCGCCTCTCGTCGTAGCAGCAGTAGCCACAATTGGAGCAAAGGCAGCAGCAAAGAGTCCTCGTGAAGACTCCCCGGGCGCATCTTGACAAGAGTCCGCCGGCGCTCGATAGGTAGATAAGCGTTAGAGGGATTCCCACGAATGCGTAGCCCATCGTCACTACCTTGCCCAGTGTCGAGCGTGGCGCAATACTACCATAACCTATTAAAACAATATCAAACGCACATATATGAGATTATCTTAGCCTATGAATAGCATCGCCATTTATATTAGATATTAAATGCGCGTGGCTCCGAGCTTGCGTGTACACACGAGAATGACATATCTCGAATGATGAAACGCAAGCGCGTGTATGTTGCTCGCGTATACACGCAGCATTTTGTCGATACACGCACACAAAGCAGCACAGGCATTATGGCGTTTATTAAATGGACGAAATTTTTACAATTCGTATAAACGAAATTAGATTGTCGGTGTATTAAAATGTGCATTCATTACAGATTTAATGCTATTTTCATATACTATCATAAATGAAAAAAAAAAAAATAAATAAATAAAATAATTAAATAAAAATAATAAAAAACGCATTAAATATACTTCATGGCCCGAATATCGAAACTACAATAACGGATGATTGAAAGATTTAGATAGTTTATTTGCCATTGAATCGAGATTCACTTTTTCATTGCGTTTGAATAGCCAAAATAAATAGATATACGGCGATTCTTCAGTTTTTAAGTTCCTTGTAATAACGATAAATCGAGTATCGTTATATATTATAAATTTTATATATTAAAAATTTATAAATAACGACATTAGTTTTATAATTATTTTACGTTTTATACAAGTAGATATTTATATTTATATTTAGATATTTAGATATTTAGATATTTAGATATTTAGATATTTAGATATTTAGATATTTAGATATTTAGATATTTAGATATTTAGATATTTAGATATTTAGATATTTAGATATTTAGATATTTAGATATTTAGATATTTAGATATTTAGATATTTAGATATTTAGATATTTAGATATTTAGATATTTAGATATTTAGATATTTAGATATTTAGATATTTAGATATTTAGATATTTAGATATTTAGATATTTAGATATTTAGATATTTAGATATTTAGATATTTAGATATTTAGATATTTAGATATTTAGATATTTAGATATTTAGATATTTAGATATTTAGATATTTAGATATTTAGATATTTAGATATTTAGATATTTAGATATTTAGATATTTAGATATTTAGATATTTAGATATTTAGATATTTAGATATTTAGATATTTAGATATTTAGATATTTAGATATTTAGATATTTAGATATTTAGATATTTAGATATTTAGATATTTAGATATTTAGATATTTAGATATTTAGATATTTAGATATTTAGATATTTAGATATTTATATTTATATTTGGAAGAGAGTTATCCGACATTCTATCTTATTTATGTTTCAATTTCTTTTTCTATAATCTATTGTCATTGCAACTTTGCAACTATCGCAAAAGAATGATGTTTGGGGATAACCGAGCAAGTGTTTTCATTACGAATGGGAATATTTACTTATCTGTTATAACTCGTAGTTGACGATATAATTAATATCAGAGTTTGACAAAGTATCATCGTTTGACAAAGTATCAATAGAACATAAAATAGTAAATAATAGATCTTATTCAAATTACTATTATTCTCTTTTCCGTCAAAATTTTTAGATTTATTACTGGTCAGATACTATTATTCGTTTAAACGATTCCACGAGTTATATATCGCAAAATTAAATAAATCTCAGTTTTTAATACGATTAAATGTCTGTATTGGCACATTGAAATGAAGAATTAACTATAAAATTTTATGCTTCCTTCTTGATAACTTCTTTGCTATTCTTACCTCGGTAATAATATATTGCGCTCTATGTTATAGCTATCGAATAAAAAGGCAGAATTTTGATTAGAACTCTTCAGTTCTATATTGTATTTGAATGTATATTTATGAGTAAAAGCTATGTTTTCTAAATCAGTAACTAGTTGTGGTTTAGTTTGTATTTTAACATTAATACTTATATTGCCATTTGCCGAATTACAAGATAGATATGTAAATACGTAATTCATTAGATTAATTTTTGTATTTTTTAATTTAATAAATAATTTTTTTTTAAAGGATGATGACTATTCTGTACAAAATAATATAACGCCAGGTAGAAGAAAGGCAATTAATAATTCAGAAAAACAGAAAATAGATGAGGATGAAGATGCCAGTAATGATAATAAAAATAACTCCAATAATAACGGCAATACTGAAGAAAATCGAAATACGACTAAAATAGCGTCGGTTCCTTTGATAAGCACACGTATCGATTTTGATAATGATTCCGACAATAAATATCGCAATAATAGAGAGCCAAATATGGCAATAAAATATATAAAAGATGTGGTCGAGAATATTCGACTATCGGTTCAATTTCGGGAAAATGTGATTCGCGCAATTAGTTATTTATTACAAATTTCTGATAATAATACACTTACTGAAGAACAATACACGGCACTGAATCTAATATACACAGTTGTGCGAGAAAAGCGTGTGTATTTCTTTGATTTATTGCCTCCGGTAAAAAGTTACTTACCACAAGAAGCAGAAAAGGGAAAGAACTGTGAAATGGAAACGGTATTAAAGATAGTATCTGTGAATCTTCCAAAATATATGAAATGTTCCGCTCACTTTTTAATACGGGAATTGCATTATGCCACATTAAATGTTGAAGCTATAATATCAACATACAATCCACCGGAATTCATTTTTAATTCTTTTTATCAAATTGATATCAAAGTGATAAATACTATTTTTAGCAAAAATGGTATTCTTGACGTAGAAAAAAAGAGCATTTCTCCAGAAACTAAAATGATTAATACTGTATTGGGTTCTGCATTTACCTATGTTATCAGTAAAGTGATTGAAGACGAGATACCTTTATCACAGATGATTTTTGTAAATATTTTAATGAATATGCCAATTAGTCCACTGGATCCAGTACTCGAGGAAAATATTTTGTTCATATATAAGTTAGGTATACAAAATAAGATTCCTCAATGGAATAAGTGCAAGAAAAAAGTATCTGATATGAATCCATATCGTTTGTTAAGAAAAATGATAATTAATATTTTACAAGTACAGAAACAAAATCATAATGTTATCAATGCTCTTATATATATTTTAAGTCATTTACAGCCAATCAGGAAATCACCAGGCAATTTGATTTTACCAGAATTAGATGAAACTGATAAGTCAACTCTTGTTTTCTTACTTGATACAATAACTTATCCGGAGTATGATTCATATACAATTGACGTTAAGAATCGTTTGATAACGTTTATTGAAAATTCAGATTTCGATACGAAACTTATTAATTTAGCTTTTAGTAGATATACATATGACAATTCATGGGATTTATTACTAAGTACTTTAACGCAACTTCAAAAGAGTATTATGAATATTAAAAAGTATGCTGAAGGTACAAAACTTCTTCCCATGCTAATATCAAGTTTAATATTCAGAAAGAGAACAATGATTTTTTCAAAATTCATATCAAAACAACTACACATTGTAGATTTATTACCATGGATTTCATACCAAGGATCTAAAATTGTAGACGTAGATCTAATTATAAATAAAATAATTACCAATAATGATGAATTTATATCAATCATAACAGAATCTGTTAATGCTGAAAAAACAGTTTGTTATGCACCTTTACAGTGTCTACAGAATTCAATGAACAGAACTCGATCATCTATACCAACACAATTAACACAACTATTACAGGAAGATCAATCTAATGATCAATTAGAAACAGAATATCCAGTGAACAACAAGAATAGATATCCGAATAGTAATGGTAAAGGTAATGTTAACACTTTTAAACCTAAGCAAGATTTTAATGATATGAATACTGATAATAATATTGAAAACAATGACAATAATAATAATTATATACGTGATAAGGTAAAAACGAAAGGTAACCAAAAAATCATTGGCAATAATAAAGGTAAGTCAAAAAATAAAGGTAAAAAGAAAATTGCTGATAATGATGAGCCAGAAGATGATTTTGATGATAATAATACACTTGGCAATAACGTTCAGAATAACGACAATAGTAATAATAATATGAATTTTCGTGATAAATTATAAAAGAAAGGTAAAAAGAAAATTCCTGATAAGGATGAGCCAGAAGGGGATTTTGATGATAATAATACACTTGGCAATAACGTTCAGAATAACGACAATAGTAATAATAATATGAATTTTCGTGATAAATTATAAAAGAAAGGTAAAAAGAAAATTCCTGATAAGGATGAGCCAGAAGGGGATTTTGATGATAATAATACACTTGGCAATAACGTTCAGAATAACGACAATAGTAATAATAATATGAATTTTCGTGATAAATTATAAAAGAAAGGTAAAAAGAAAATTCCTGATAAGGATGAGCCAGAAGGGGATTTTGATGATAATAATACACTTGGCAATAACGTTCAGAATAACGACAATAGTAATAATAATATGAATTTTCGTGATAAATTATAAAAGAAAGGTAAAAAGAAAATTCCTGATAAGGATGAGCCAGAAGGGGATTTTGATGATAATAATACACTTGGCAATAACGTTCAGAATAACGACAATAGTAATAATAATATGAATTTTCGTGATAAATTATAAAAGAAAGGTAAAAAGAAAATTCCTGATAAGGATGAGCCAGAAGGGGATTTTGATGATAATAATACACTTGGCAATAACGTTCAGAATAACGACAATAGTAATAATAATATGAATTTTCGTGATAAATTATAAAAGAAAGGTAAAAAGAAAATTCCTGATAAGGATGAGCCAGAAGGGGATTTTGATGATAATAATACACTTGGCAATAACGTTCAGAATAACGACAATAGTAATAATTATACGAATATGCGTGATAAATTAAAAAATAAAGATAAAAAGAAAATTCCTAATAAGGATGAGCGAGCAGATGATTTTGATGATAATAATACACTTGGCAATAACATTCAGAAAAACGACAATAGTAATAATTATACGAATATGCGTGATAAATTAAAAAATAAAGATAAAAAGAAAATTCCTGATAAGGATGAGCCAGAAGGGGATTTTGATGATAATAATACACTTGGCAATAACATTCAGAAAAACGACAATAGTAATAATAATATGAATTTTCGTGATAAGTTAAAAAAAAAGAAAATTGCTGATAATGATGAGGCAGAAGATGATTTTGATGATAATAATAAACTTGGCAATAACGTTCAGAAAAATGACAATAGTAATAATTATATGAATATGCGTGATAAATTAAAAAATAAAGATAAAAAGAAAATTGCTGATAATGATGAGGCAGAAGATGATTTTGATGATAATAATAAACTTGGCAATAACGTTCAGAAAAATGACAATAGTAATAATTATATGAATATGCGTGATAAATTAAAAAATAAAGATAAAAAGAAAATTGCTGATAATGATGAGGCAGAAGATGATTTTGATGATAATAATAAACTTGGCAATAACGTTCAGAAAAATGACAATAGTAATAATTATATGAATATGCGTGATAAATTAAAAAATAAAGGTAAAAAGAAAATTGCTGATAATGATGAGGCAGAAGATGATTTTGGTGATAATAATACACTTGGCAATAACGTTCAGAATAACTACAATAGTAATAATAATATGAATATGCGTGATAAGTTAAAAAATAAAGGTAAAAAGAAAATTGCTGATAATGATGAGGCAGAAGATGATTTTGATGATAATAATACACTTGGCAATAACGTTCAGAATAACGACAATAGTAATAATAATATGAATATGCGTGATAAGTTAAAAAATAAAGGTAAAAAGAAAGTTGCTGATAATGATAAGCCAGAAGATGATTTTGATGATAATAATAAACTTGGCAATAACGTTCAGAAAAATGACAATAGTAATAATTATATGAATATGCGTGATAAATTAAAAAATAAAGGTAAAAAGAAAATTGCTGATAATGATGAGGCAGAAGATGATTTTGGTGATAATAATACACTTGGCAATAACGTTCAGAATAACGACAATAGTAATAATTATATGAATATGCGTGATAAATTATAAAATAAAGGTAAAAAGAAAATTGCTGATAATGATGAGGCAGAAGATGATTTTGGTGATAATAATACACTTGGCAATAACGTTCAGAATAACGACAATAGTAATAATAAAATGAATATGCGTGATAAGTTAAAAAATAAAGGTAAAAAGAAAATTTCTGATAATGATAAGCCAGCAGATGATTTTGATGATGTTGATACAACTGACAAGGATGTCCAGAACAACGAAAATGATAATGATAATATTAATATACGTGATAGGTTAAAAAATAAAGGTAAAAAGAAAATTGTTGAGCCAGAGGATGATTTGAATGATATAGGTACAGTTAACAATAATCAGAAAAATAAAAATAATCAGAATAGTATTAATACACGTGGTAAGCCAAAAACAAGAGGTAAAACGAAAATCCTTGATAATTTCGAAGTAGAAAATGATTTTAGTGATGCAAGTATATTCCACGATAATATTCAGAAATCGAAAAATCAGAATAATCTGAATAATATTAATACAGCTGGTAAGTCTAAAAATATTGGTAAAAACAAAATAGCTAATAATATTGAGTTCGAAAATGAAGAAATTGATGAAAATGTTCCAAAAAATAAAATTAATCAAAATAATAAGCCTAATATACCCAAAAATAGAAGTAAACAGAAAATAGTTGATAGTATGGAAGTAGAAAATGATTTTAGTGATATAAGCACACATCACAAAAATGTTCAGAAAGGGAGAAATAATAATAATGGTATTAATATACGCGATAAGTTGATAAACAAACGCAATAAGAAAAACGTTGATAACGTTCCATCGGAAGATAGAGAAGACTATGTAATACAAAAGAATGATCCAAAATTAAATGTCGTAGATTCACGCAATTTAAATTCTAAAACAATTGGGGATATTATAGAAGAAATACTTTTAGATAAAAATGTAATAGAGAGTTCTGCAGAAATGAAAAATATCAAACCTAAAAAACTGATGAAGATTCTTGCAAACATCGTTCAGCGGAAAAAATATAGCTTAAAGATTATAGAAATTAAAGCAATTAATAAATATTTATATGTACTAAAACAATTAAATGCAGTTCCAGATATAATTATACGTCAAAAGAACACAGCTGGAATAGAAGCGAACGTTGTCATTAATGAAATATTAAATCAAGTAATTTACTTTCATGAGCTCCTTATGCCTAACAAAATTAAATATGTAAAAATTCTTCAGTTTATTGAAAAAACACCGTTAGTAATTCAAAATAGTAAGATCAATCTATTTACACATAAAACAAAAGGAAAATTTGTTCAGTATCTCTTAGAAACATTAATGAAACTAGAAGAAACGGATCAAATAACAAAAGATAATATAAAAAGTATAATACCATACATTCAATTAGATGGACTAGGAGCAGAAAATTTGATCTACTACTAAAAATATACAAACGCGAAACTAGATCAACAATAATGTTTTTTTTATTATAACATATGTTTTAAATGTTAATATGTTTATGAATATTTATTCATTCTTTTGTATAACAGGAAGAAGTTGCACGAACGAATTCGTTGTTTAAGAAAATTAATTAATATTAGTAGTTAGTTATAATCGAATAAATTTGAATATTTTTAATAATAGAATACATATTATAATTTTATAGGAATTCATTAAAATATGTTAATACTTTCATTCAATAGGTTTCGATAATTAGTAGAAATTGATGAAAAAGAGCCTGTGAATCAATATAAAATGATGGTATCAATAAACACATTTATTATTAAAAAACTCATTAAGTTAATTTAAGAATAATGGTATTACAACAATTATAACAGCTTTTCAAATATTTAATTTGAGTTTTCTTGAAGTAGAATTGAAATGAAAAACAAATTATTATTATATATACACGTTATAAATACAATTATTATTATTATTATTATTATTATTGAAACTATTACGAACCGATTTTCATCCTCAATTTAATACTAATTCAAGAGTTATTAATTCAATGATAAATAATATGAAAAAGTTTTTTGTTTTTCTATATTATACATTATATTATTGTATAATACATATTTTTAAATAATTTACAAATTGAAATTGTTTTGAAAGTTAAAAAAAAACATCAGCAGTAATGTTATATAATTATAGAAAATAACAATGTATTGATAAAAAATTCTAGTATAAATTTTTTCAAAACTTTTTTTACAAATTATATACCATGTACTTTCATTTTATTTTCTTTTAAGTTTATAAAATAGTAAAAAATATTTTCTATCCTCTTAAATAACTTCTTCAAATTTAAGAAAATCTTATCTTTTATTTCAAAATAAATTATATTCAATATAATTTTTAAATTTATATTTTGTATTTAGACATTTGATTTGTATATATGAATATAAGTATATGTAAATACATCATTGTAACATGATAATGATTATTATTAAGTGACTTTACATTTCTAACATTTAATTTATATATAATATAAAATAATATATATTATATATAGAAAATATTGAAGAAGCAAAAGTATCTTAATAATAATTTTATTATGTTTCTACAATAGGATAAATAAACTTCTTTCCACATTCTTGAATACTATTGAAATAAATCCGTTTTTACACATTCAATTCATAATACACGCTTATGCATATATAACTTGGTTTTTCCTAAATTTGTATATTAATTATATTTTAAATAAACAAATATTATGTATTTCTATAAATTCATATAAGTATTTTCTATATTTAAGAAATTTTTTTTATATATTTAAACACAACAAATGCTTAGTTTGTGATATTTCAAATTATATTATTATGCATATTGTTATTATCCAAATATGAATGTAATATTTTTGAATATACATAAGAATATTTAATGCATGGAATTTCGTTATAGTGGCTTCATTTAAATTATATAATTAGTATAATAATTTT